TAATTAACAAAATTAAATTTAAATAAATTTTTATTTATAAATATAATTATTTTTTATAAATTCTATACAAAAGATCACACCTTTTCTTTTATTTACTTGGCACTTTGGCAATCAAATTAGTAGGTGTATATGTCTACCTAGCTTTACAATATGGATGTATAACACTTTAGAAGCGCACATATTGGGAAAGGGGCTATGGTTGTGGTGGTAACAGCCCCACACCCCAGTCACCACATTGTGGTTTTCATTCCCATCACTTACACCACTCCATTATCATCTTCAAAATGCTAACTCCTAATCTACTTAAAAAAATGAGTAAGGGCCTGACTTCCCCACTGCATTACCCAAAAAGAGAAAAAGAAAGAAGAAACTCTTATATAACTTAAATAATAATAATATCATTATAAAATATCAATAGGTTATGTATTTCCTAATGTGTATGCTCCTTCAACTAAAACTCTTATATGTTTTTTTAAAATAAAATAAAATTTCAGTTCTTTTCTTTAAAATAGACATCGGATTATAGATCCTTAAATTTTAGAACTATGAAATGCTATTAAGTAAGAAAAAAAGTATTTTTCAAATTATAACATTAAAATCATGATTTTTTAAACCAGTTTTAAATAAATTCTACGTTCATGATTGCTTTTGGAAAATAGACTTCACACAAGTTGAACGGGTAGTACAACATTGTGCCATCACATAAATGACATATTGTACTAATGTAAATTAATTAGAACCAAACCTACAATGTAGTATAGTAAAACCCCAATAAAGAGCTTCAATTATTTTAGTATAAAATTATTGTTTTGGAAATTGTATTCATATAAGTTATTAATTTATCATTTTTCATATATTGAATATAGCTATAATATAAAAATATTTAAATTGTTATTTATATGTTATAATTATGACTGATAAATATATAAGTTATAAATATACATCTGGAAATTATAACTACTAACTTATAAATATTTAAATTGTTTTTATAAGCTATAATAAATTATAATTCATATTAAAAAAATTGATTAATAAATCTACATGGCTTCAAAAATACAAAAATAATTACAGGCATACCTACAATATAATATGAAAATACTACAATAAAAAACTTATAATCTTCTACAGAATTAAAGCATAAAGCCCCTACATTAGGTGTAGTGTACATTATTGGGTTTATGTAGCCTTAAAAGGCCTTATGAGTGTGTATTGAAATACTTTTATTATAGTGAAACATAAATTCAGTGGAAATGCGGTCCCTCGAGGACCATACTAAGCGAATGATGTTTGCTTATACCGGACTGTGCTTATCGATCTAGGCTAGTCGATTGAAAAACCCAAGGTACCTGGGCATAAAGAATTAACCGATGAGGGTTTTGGGTTAGCCCTTGATGAGGTCGGAGCTTATACCTAGATGAGAGAGCCGATGGACTGTATGACCCTTGTGTGTGATGGTAGGCCTACTGAGACGGGGGTCAAAACCTCATCCACGTTCTATCACACGGCATATATATTGATAGATCGTTCAAAAAAGCCAAATATCCACTTTTGGGTGAAGCGTATGCATGTGCGAGAAATACCCCTATACACCATAGAGCTGTGGTCGCAATAAGTCGTGATGACCTTGACTTGTCTCTATGGGAGGACCTGTAATCCACATACTGAGATTGTGACCCCTTGATTCATCGACCTAACTTTGGTGATCCGCTAATGCGCCCTTGCATGGACTATGGGTCATGGGAAACACTGGGTCGGTTCGATAAAGCTAGTGTGGTCAGTAATCCACAGTTGAAGGTGGAGTACCCCATTATTACAAATTGAATTCCTAAAACCATATGGATCATTTTCCCACCTTATTAATTTAATTGTGTTCATTTTATTATTGAAATGATTTTAGTTTTATTATTTGAATTTTTATAGATCTCTCAATATTTTAATTATGATTTTTGGATTCTAAAAATACAGTTATTGATTTTACAAAGTTGAAAAAATTCAAATATATATTAATTCGTTTTATTTAATTTTAAAATTTTTTTATAAAATTCCATGGGGGCCTAAAGTACACATGGGCCCACATATGGCATGTGGGTGGGGGCCCACATGTGCCACAAAGGGGTGGCACGTCCCACCCTTTGGATTGTCTTTAATTGCTTTGTGCTCAAGACTTTAAGTTAAGGTAAGTTTGATTTGTGGCAAGTGGTCAAATCTTGGAAGGGAAATATTGACCATGGCTTTATTTGTTTTATAGCAAGTTTGCTTTAAAGGGATATGGTCACTTTGAATAAATAGTAAATATTGACCTTATCTTATTTATATTTGGTAGTATTTATTTACTTGATAATATTTGACATATCCTTGTGGAATATGTGATATGGATCATACAATTTTATGGAATGCATGATATTTATTTTAGTTAAATATATTGATGGGAAAATGGTTTAAGAAAAGGGGGATAATGGTTCAAGCACCTTCCATAAATGTTGATGGCCCATCTATGGAATGGATGGCTCAGATCTCTTACCCCACAAGTCACCTTGATTAACGGTCTATATTCAATCTCATGAAAGAGGCAAACTATGGGAAAACCCTAAGAAACCCTAAACCTAAATATCCACTATAAATAGGGATACTCTCCCCCCAATCTCCACACAACCTCTCTCTCTCCCATAACCTCTCACTCTCTCTCCTCCATATTTCTCTATCTAATTTTCTCTCTCCAAAACCTTAGATAATACTCTCTCTCATCTATAGACCTAAGTTAATTTTAATGGTTGAAAAAATTAGAAGGAGCCTAAGTTAATTTTTGGGGGTTAAGGTTTAGTAGAGATTTTAAGCGGTGGTTACCTAGTTTGGCCGAAATCAGCTATCTCGGTTTGAGATTGAAGCTAGACCACATATCTCGGGCCATTGGATGTCGTGACTCGGTGTGGGATGTAAAAAATTCGGTTGAGGTAATCTCCAGCGTCTTTTCTTTTATTTGTTTGTTTTTTTATTTTTTATTCTCGAGCACAGTATTAGGCTGCATGAATGACATCAAGTAGTTGAGATTTATTTTATTGATGTGTTATTTATTTTTTGAATTTCTATTGTTTGTAATAAGACCATCTGTGAGTGATCTTGTTGCCAAAATTATAAGGGGTGATTATTATTTAAAAAAAAAATTATATTTCCCCGACAAAAGATCACATAGGTCTTTCTTTCATACATATCCCTTTAAAATCTATAATGAAACAGTATGTCCATTTTAAATAAATTCTACATTCGTATTGACTCCTTTAAAATAAGTTCCACACAAGTCAAGCGGGTAGTACAACATAGTACCAACATAAGAATGATACATTACACTACTATAAAAGTAATTAAAAAACTAGATATGTATCATATAGAAGCCAGATTGGCTTCTACATTTAAACTCTATAATAAAACAATGTGTCTAGTTTGAATGAATTTTATATTTATGTTAAATTTTTTAAAACAGTTGGGGGTAGTACAAAATAATGACACCACAAAAACGACACTTTTAACTGCTCTAGGCAATAGTTTACTTAAAATAAATACTTTTTAAAAATAATTTGACACAAGTTGAATATAGTGCCACCACGAAAAAGACACATTCCACTGTTCTAAACAGTAGTTTACTTCATATTAATATTAGTTGAATGTTAACTTTGAATCTTAATCAATTATTTACACCTCTATAAGTATAGTATCAATTTTTCAGTCAAATTATAAAATTTTAGTTTTTAAGTTTCATTTGTTCTAATTCAATATAAGTTACAAGGGTTATTCTAACATATTTTTACAATGGAAAATTTTCACTATTGCTTTTCACTAGGTATCTCTAGAGCCACTTAGCATTAACATCTAAACTCATCGCACAAGTTAAGCTGGCAATATCACCACGACGAACATATCTCATGTCATCCTATGATTTTTACACCAAAAATACATCTTATGATAAAATTTGATGGTGCACCTTACTTTGATTGTTTAAGGTTGCAACCTTTTGTAAACCACACCCTTATAAAAAAACGTTTTAATTTATTTTAAAAGAATTCAAATATCATCCATAACACATGGATTCCGCCTTTGAAGCTATAAAGGGGGAAATAATAGGTATACGTGTGATTTGCAAAAAACTTACATACTTCTATAATTTTAAAAAAGGATTGCATACTATGAGACCATTTATCTTTAGTACAAGAAGGTCACAATTAATCCTAACCATTAGTATCCAATTGGATGGCTTGAGATATGTTATGAAGTTCAAGAAATTTTTTGTTGGGTTTTGAGTTTAGTCATACGTACATTTACAACCATTTAATTTGAAATTTGATGGACAAGATTGGTTGCGACCTCCTTATACTAAAAGTAAATGGTCTCTTATTAGAGAATGTGATGGTGCTTTTATTGCAGCATTTTCAAAATCTTTTGGATCGCTTTCAATAATTATGCATAATTTTTTGCTATTGAAGAATGTCTTACTCTAACCATTATGTTAAAGTGTTTTCCTCTTTAAATTGAAAGTGACTCAACCTTGCTCGATAATATTATTTATGAATGCTGTCAACCTCATTGAAAATTATATACAGTTACAACAAATTATAAACAACGTCTTTATTATCATGGGTGATTCATTACCTACATTTTTTTTAGGCTAACATGGTAGCTCATATTCTCGTAAAGATAGTCACATGCCATTTGCTAGCTATTGTTTGGCTTTTTCATCTTCCGAACTTTATTTTATTTTCTTTGCTTTATTTCGTGATTTATCAAAGGTGTCATGTTCTAGGGTTATAAAGAAATGAGTTATAACTTTATTTATTTTAAAATATTAATAAAAACCGGGCAAGGGCTTTCCCATGACTTACGAAAAAACACAATAAATAAATAAATAAATAAATAAATAAATATATATATATATATATATCTTTGAATGCTTGTCCTTAAAAGTGGAATATTACTATAAAGGGCACCCAAAAATCTGGCGAGAGATATTTGTTCTCTCTTTGGACACAAAAATCCAGATATCCCAAAACATCAGTGGACCTAAACTCATCCAACAAAACCCCTTCCTCTCTTCGTCTCAACTGGGCCGCCTCTTTATTTTTTGGCTCAAATCTTGCGGTACCCTCTCTTTTCCTTCTGAGAATTAATGGCGGCCGCTTTTTCAGTTACAGGGGCCATCTTCTCTGCTCACCCCACCACCCCTTTTCTCCAAAAGAGGCACACACAGGGCCAAGTTCACCTTCTTCCATGGCCACTCCGCAAAACCATGAGCTTTTCTCTTATCCCCACCTTTTCGGTTGCTCGCAGTCGTGGCATTTGCCTAAACGTGAGGGCTGCTTCAGCTGCTACTGTGGAGTGTGATGTTAGAGAAAAAGAGGGTTTGGACATTGCTAAGCTTGGTATCTCGGAAGAGATTGTCTCCTCGTTGTCTCGAAGGGGAATTACAGAGCTCTTTCCTATACAGGTATGGATTTTCGATTTTGTTTTTGTTCTTATTTTGGGTGGGAATACGTTTTTATTTTTCTTGTTTAACTGTTTTGCCGTTTGTGTGTTCGACTTAATGGCAGCGCTTCTATCTTTACCTGTATCCATTTCTCTTTATCGTATGCGACACTGTAATAGTGAGTGAAACTTTAACAGCATAGGTGCTGCATATGTCTTACAGTGTAAACTACAATACCATTCACGTATACTAGCATTTGAATCTCTTTTGTTGTTTCTAGCTTGTGGTGCGTTGGAACTCGAGAGTTCCTTTCGCCAGCATCTTTTCGTAGGTTACCCTGAATACCTTCTCAAAAGAAAATGGTTATAATACTCTTTTGTCTCCAATTATTTTGATTTGAGTGCTACTCGTCCTCACAAATTTAGCTAACAAATATATAACACTGTGTACTGTTCCTTACCTATGTCAAGTTTCTAGATTTGGACTGGATGGCATTTTTTCATTCATATGAACTAAGCAATGCTCAATTAAAAGAGTTCTGGGAAATTTGTTATTTATGAATGCATGTCAAATCTAGAGTTTTAGCTTGTGAATCCATTATATTGGTAGATTTTTTGAATGATGTAGGAGGCAATGAAACTGTTGGATACTATCTCAAATGTTTAAGCCTCTGCTATAAATTGCAGAGAGCGGTGCTGGTGCCGGCAATGGATGGTCGTGATATGATTGGGCGGGCTATAACGGGATCTGGAAAGACTCTGGCCTTTGGAATTCCTATATTGGACAAAATTATTCGACATAATACTCATCGCAGGTTAGAGAAAACCCTCCTACAGCTTGAGATATTTTATACTCATCCTGTAAACTGATGTGCTCTTGTGTCTTAAGATATATTATTGCTTATTTTTTGCTGTTGATTTTGGTACTATTTTATTTATGAATGAGAAATGTAGTACACGATGGACAGAGATTGGACCGTCAAACCAAGACTAACTGCTTTAACTTCTGAATTATTTTCTTCTTCCCTAAATTTGTAAATGATCTTCAAAAGGATAACTATGGCTCACTTTTCAATAGAAATTTTATCTGATTTGATTATATATGGGGTTTAATTGGTTGCACATTAGTACTTACTTTTTCTTTTCTTTTTTTGACATATTAACTTTATAGGAATGGAACCCTTTGTTAAAAGTATTTATTGATGAAGTGAATGTATGATCAGTGATGAAAAAGTCGGCCGCCCGGCCTAGGCGGCCTGGCCAACAAACCGCATAGGTGTACCTACGCAGTGGGGTCTGGGCAGGCATGCTTAAAGTAGGTGCCTAGGCTGGTCTGGGCGCCCACCTAGTGCAACCCCTTAAAAAAAAAAACAAAATTAAAATCTACCCAAGCAAAAATTAGGCATGTGCATTACCCTTCCCTCTCTCTCTCTCTCACTGCTCTCTCTACATATGAGGAGAAGAATAAGATACACTCCAAGTGTTCGATACACGACCTCTCTCTCTCTCTGATGCACATATACATACACAAGATACACATGGACCCATATGCTCCATCGTTACATGTATGAAGAAGAAAACAAAGAAGATGACCTTTCTCTCAAAAAAAAGGAGAAGAAGGTGACCTTTAAATGTTTGACGCGAGGTCCCTTTCTCTCACAGACTATCTCTCTCTCTCTCTCTCTCTACATATTAGAAGAAAAAGAAGAACATCCTCCAAGTGTTCAAGACCTCTCTCTCACAAATACAGATCCAAAAGAAAAAAAAGAAAGAGGATGATCTTTAAGAATTGCGAGGCCTCACGCACACAGGTGTGGGCACACACACACACATACACACACACATGCACAAAAAACACACACAAAACAACATATGGCCCCGACCCTAACCCCATTACTTGGGCGGCCGCCTCCGCCTTTTTTAACATTGTATATGCCGAAGTCATCCTATATTTTGTTTTAAATCATGATGTCACAAATTATTATAGTCAGTGGCATACATGTAAAATAATATATATATATATATATATATATATATATATATTGAAAATCATTTTTTTATTTTTTAATATTGTGGTTTATTTTTTAATATTGTTAATCTAATGATAATAAAATTATCTAAAAAATTTGGCAAGAAAAACGATCATTCTATGGCCTAGATCTAAGCATCTCACAAAATGGATGGTCTATGTTAATTGGTCTAAACAAATACTTTCTAGGTTGTGTTTTCAAATTTTTCTTTTTTGTGATTGTTCATTAGAATGAAAAGAGTGTATATTTTAAAATTTGGATCAAACAAATGGGCCTAACATAGTTTTTGAAGGTTGTTGCATCATATTACTATACAACTGTTGCATGAAATCACTGCCCATATATATATATATGTGGAAGATACTACAAAATGCCTATAGGCGAAAATGAACATTGATTTTGCCTACCCTCATCACCATCCAAACTTCATCGCACGGTCACAGTTGTTCAGTTGTGTTTCAATTTTCATTTTTTTTACTAATCGGAATGATCTGAAATTTGGAGTGTGTGTACATCTTAGTAAGGAGCACTTAATAAAAATATAAAAAAAATAATTTGC